TGAGATTGTCAGAGCTAAGTGGACAGCAATAGTTTCCAGACTCGGGTCAACAAGTTTGATGGCTCTGCAGGTTTCTTTGTCCCCCCCTTTTTCCTCCAGCCTCTTTTTAAAGTCCTCCCTTCAGTCTCTGGGGCACAGTCTCCAAATTGGCTCCCAGAGACTCGTCGCCAGGCCTGGAAATAAAGCCTTTGCCACCTAAATTTTTGGTCTCTTGCTTCCTTGGATTTTATACCAGGGCCCGAGTTATAATGGTCTCTGTGTCTCCCTCTACTTTATGCTCTACACTGCAACTGCAATAACTTTCCTGGAATGTTACTCCAGTTGTGTTATTCTCCCTTTTAAAGTGGCTCCAGATAAAGCCTTGTTCTCCAAATTCTTCAGATTGGCTTACGAGCAATAGGATAATACAGGCCCTCAGATTAGAGAACTTGAGAACTAAAAGGTTGTAGGGATCAAATCCAGTTCTTGCTATTCCCTTTAGCTTCAGGAGTTTGTCAATGTGGGGAAGAGCCATTCTGTTTTTCTTCTTTTCGGCTTTTGCGCACACTCCTAACTTTGAGATTGTCCACGTGTTTCACATGTCCCCCTAAGTTACTCACTGCTTGATTTGGTCTGTCACTGTCCCTTACATATGTCTCTCTTTCAGAACAGTTGTTGAACTACTGTGAAGACTACTGATCTAGTGACCTACTGGTCTGATGATCTGCCTTAACTTTACAAAGGGGACAGGATGGTGAGGCCAGACAGCACGTAACTGTGCAGTGTTTATTTTATTTTAGCAAGGCTCCTGGAGCCTATGGACTCCTTTTTCATATGTGAGTGACAACTGGCTGGCTATTGAGTTCTGGGTTGCAGCTTTGTCACTGGACGATGTACAGTAAATGGATGGTGTTTTTACTAGAATACTTTTTGATACGAATCTTTTTTTAAAAAAATAGACTTAATCTGTAATCCTTTGAGCTCTTACAAGTTGCAAATTCAGGTCTCACCTTACTGGAAGAAAACTCTTCTATACAGTATTTGAATACTGCTTCTTTTTCGTTGTTGTTTGTGATACTGGGATTAATTCCAGAGCCTTACCACTAACTTACTTCCACCTGTTTTTTTTTTTTTTTTTTTTTTTTTTGTCATTTTGAGATAGGGTCTTGCTATGCAGTTTAGGCATACCTTATTAAACTCACTTTGTAACCTAATGTTTGAACTCACAGCAGTCCTCCTAGCAGGCATAAGGATTGCCATGAGTTCAAGACCAGCTTGGGCTGCACAGAGAGACCCTGTCTCAAAACAAACACAAAATATATATGATTTTACATTTTAAAACATCTTTTCTTACATTCTTTTAGAATCATTTCACAGTCTTGGAGCTGGCCATGGTGGCATCTATAATCCCAAAACTGAGGAGGCTGCAATAGTAGGATTACTAGGCATTGAAGGCCAGCCTAGCAAGACTCTTGTCTCAAAAAACAAAAACAAAAGCGGATAAAAGAAAATCACAAACTTCAAGATAGTGCAAATGATTTCCCCATGAGTAATGCTCATATGGTGCGCTCCACACTCCGAACAGCGAGAATCGTTGTGAAAGAGTGCTTTTTAGAGAGTGTCACTTTTCATTCCTTATTATAAGTATCATGACATTAAAAACTAAAATCTCTTAGGTTTTAACAAATTGCCCTGATTGTCAGTTAAATGTGACCTCAGGAAAAGGAGGAGAGGTCTGGGCTGTAAATTATTCTTGGGGAGACATCTCTTTGTGCAGGCTTTTATTTGTGTACTTTCCAAAGTTGCCCTGTCCTGTCTTGGATCAGGCGCCTTGTGCTAGGGTAATCCTGCTTTTCCCAGATGGTGGGTGGCGCAGCCTCACTACTTCTGCCGTGTTAGAAAGCGATCTGCCACCGTGCATGCCTCAGACCTCGGACAGTTGTTTTCCAACTCTGCCAAATTGTTCTCCAAGTGTTGCACCTCCCTGTCCCCACACGTGGCCTCGCTGCTCTGATGAGAATGTTTTCCTAGCCTGCGGCAGCTTTTCCAAGTCCTGCTAGTATGCAGCTGTTAAAATGCACCTGCCCCAGTAGGCTTTTGATGTTGGGCCTGATTCAGCTGTTTTCCTTCCAAACTAGAGGGAGTAGGAATTCTTTGGTGCCTTTTTAATACTTTTGTTGTCGTTGTTTGATTTTGGGGTGTGCGAAGTGTTCTGCCACTGAGTGACACCCCACTCTCCATTTTAATACTTTTCTGATGGCTTTTCTGCTCTTGAAACGGCTAGATCCATCTGCATAGTATGTCACAGGGCTTATAAAAAAACTTCTGATGTTCTGTTCCCTTCCTAATTTTAATTGCTGTGTATTTTCCTTGCTTATTTCTATTAAGAATTTGCTTAGGGTCAAGTAGGAGTCAAACTTAGATTCTCAGTCACCAGTTCCAAGTAGTTCTATAAAGTGTCATTGACAAAGAAAATCCTTCTCTTTTAATGAAGGGAAATCATCCCTTTTTTGGAGACAGGATCTCACTATGTGGACTAAGTTGGCCTCAAACTTGCTATCTTCCTGCCTCAGCTTCCTGAGTGCTAGATTATGTGTGCCACTATGCCTGGCCAACTGTCACTTTCTTTTTTTTTTTTTTTTGTCTTTTTCGTTTTTATCGGTACCAGGGATCGAACTCATGACTGCCTGCTTGCAAGGCAGGCGCTTATGCCGCTGAGCTAAATCCCCAGCCTCCAACTGTCACTTTCTTAAGGACCAGATTCTGTTTCCCTCATAAAGGATTCAATCCCTGGCACCAAACCAAAGCTTAAAAAATTGTAAAAGGGCCTAAATGTGTGATGTAAGAAGGAATGATTTCATGTAGTTTATAGTATGTCTGTCAGTATGCATTTTTGTGGTACTGGGGACTGAGTGCAGGATATTCCTCTACCATTTTTATTTTGAGACAAGGTCTCTCTATGTTGCGTAAACTGGCCTTGAATTTGTGATCTTCATGCCTCAGCCTCGTGAGTTGTTGGGATTATGTACATATGCCACTGTCCCTGGCTCTGCATTATAGTATTTAGAGCATGATGAGATTTTTACGGGTCAGTTAAAAATTTAGTTGCAAATATGGAAAAAATTTGCCATATTTTTGAGAGGACAATAATTTTTCACTCAGTGATTTTCTTCTTACATTATTGGGTTTGGGATAGTGTTGTTCATAAAATAGGGGGAAAATAAAGGATATCTTGCTAGCCAATCAGAACAGCTGTCATTTGGCCAAAAGGTTTACAGTGCATCTTTTATGTCTAAATATGAATATAAAAAACAATAGAATTATACTACAATGTAATATAACAGAATAATTGTGTTGGTTGAGGGTGATGCTAGATTGAAAACAGGGCAGTGAGGGCAAATATTATTCCTGTTTTAAAAGCTATTATGTATGAAATAAAAGGAAATGGTAGTTATTGCATTTGAGAAGTGATACAGATCTTTTACCTGGATCCTGAAGCAGGAGGATTACAAACAAAGGGAACTCGTGCCACAAAGCTTTGGAAATTGGCTCATGAGTAGGACAGATGAGAACAGGGCAGGTCACCTAGTCCCTATGCCCGGGGAACCATTGTTGTTGCTTGCAGAGTCAGTGTGAGTAGGGTTATTCCTGTAATCTCAAGGGTGCAAATGGTAGGTCAGAGAAATGTGAAAGTGAAGTTACAAATTTTTTGAGGGATTCTTGCATATTTTCTTTACTTATAGGAGCTTGGGTAAAAAGTGTTCTGCATGAATTTTCTTTAGTCCTGTGTAGCATTTTCATGTTGACTTTGGAGTGTTTATAGGAGTTTCTGTTGTAGAGTAACTATTTCATGTTGACTTTGGAGTGTTTATGGGAGTCTCTGTTGTGTAGTAACTATTTCTTTCTGACACATCTTTTTTCCTCCTGTTACACATAGTAGTGTGGAAAAAGAGGTGTTTTGTACTGGAGCCTTCATTGGTTTGAGCCTGAAAACTTCTTTTAAATTAGCTTTATTTATTTATTTATTTATTTTTGTATTTTTACCGGTACCAGGGATCGAACTCACAACCACAGGCTTGCAAGGCAGGCACTTATGCTGCTGAGCTAAATCCCCAGCCCCAGTTAGCTTTATTGTTAGCAGTTTGTTCAATCTTATTTTCAAACAGTCTTTAGGAAACAACTGATAGTGGTTGAACCACATAGGTCTTCTTATTTAAATATCATATTTAAGTAAGTAGTATGCACTTATTTTCATGAACAAACAACATAAAGATGAATAAGTAATTTTTTGTTGTTTTTGAGACAAAGTCTTGCTGTATAGTGTGGGCTGACCTTGAACTCACAATGTGCCCCAACTGGCCTTGAAGTCTTAGATTCTCCTGCCTCAGCCTTCTAAGTGGTGGAGTTGCAGGCATGTGTCACCACGCCCAGCCTAAGAGTTAATTCTTACTCATGTTTTAAAAGCTATCATCTAATTATGTATGCTTATAGATTTGTGGCATACATGAAATGGAGGATTTTTTTTTTTTTTTGGTGGGGTTGAACCCAGTGCCTTATGCATTCGAGGCAAGCACATGACGCTATAGCTCCAGCCCAGTGGTGCATTTCAATTAGAGGTATTTGTAATTTAACCCTTAAGAAGGTGTCTAAGAGGGAGCTACTCGCCACAGACCTGCTGCTTTCACCCTTCTTGTCAGCAAGCTGGCGCTGAGATTTCTGCACTGGGGATACTATTGTGTTAGATGACTTGAAGCCTCTGCTGCTTTTCTCAGTAACTGGAGTTATAGAACAGGTGACACATGCTTTAATCTGCATACTGCAGAGGGTAAGATAGGAGGACCATGGATTCAAGGCCAGCCTGGGCTATGTGGTGAGATCTTGTCTCCCAAAAAAAGAAAAAAGAGCCTTAACATTCGAATCCTACATTCAATATTGGCACATAACAGGTATGAAATGTTGGTTAAGTAAAATGAGTAAATTTGCAAAAATTCTTCATGGTGTCTCTTTTTGTTCTCTTGCAGTTAAAAGAGCTAAATTGCAAGGTTCACCAGGTAAGTCCAGTCTTTTAATATTGTGTCCTTTCACCCCCTAAACTTGCTATAAATTAATCTTTAGCTGGGTGTGGTGGTGCATACCTGTCATCACAAACTGCAGGAGGCTGAGACAGGAGAATTTCCATGAGTTCAAGGCCAATCTGAATTATAGCAAGAAATATAGCAATAAAGTAATCTTTTAAAACCATTGATTTCCTTTAGTTCATTGATTAAACTCACTAATTCCATTAATTCACTAATTGTATTCATATTTTTTCATAAAATTATTAAAATCAATGTTATGTAGATGACTGAAAAACAATATATCTGTATTTATTTATTTAATATATCTGTATTTATTAATGACAATTTAGTCTACTCACTTTTTTGGCCAACCCAATTCTTATTTCTCAAAAGTAGCTATTTATAGCTGAGTGCGATGGCATATCCTTATAATTTTAGCACTTGGGAGGCTGAGGCAGGAGGATCACAGTGAGTTCTAGGCCCATGAGTTGAAGGACAGTCTGGAATACATAGTGAGACTCTGTTTCAAAAATAAACAAGAAAGTGGCAGCTTAGAGCTTTTAATATATTTTTTCCGTGTATATATGTTTGGACCATACTATATCTTTGTACAGTGTGCTTTGTTCTCTCAACAGCATATCATAAAGTCTGTGTGTGTGTATGTGTGTGTGTGTGCGTGTGTGTGTGTGTGTGTATTTGTGTCTGATTCTTTCTTTCTTTTTTTTTTTTTTTTTTGTCTTTTTCCTTTTTATCGGTACCGGGGATCGAACTCACGACTGCCTGCCTTCAAGGCAGGCGCTTATGCCACTGAGCTAAATCCCCAGCCCCATGATTCTTTCTTTTAAGGGACTGTGCAGGATTATAGATTTATATGTACCTTTGGTACCTATGGATGAATATTTAGGTTGTTTCTAATTTTTTTTCCTATCACAAGCAATAAATGTTCTTGTGCACTTATTTTGTCCACTTCTACAAATGTATTCGTATGCTAGGGTCTAGAAGTAGAATTTCTGGGTAAAAAATGGATATTCAAAATGAATTTGGTAGTTGCTACAGGATTGTACTTATTTTTCTGAGACAAGGTCTTGCTATATAGTCCAGGCGAGCCTCAAATTTGAGATGATCTTCCTGCCTCAGTCTCCTGAGTACTGGCATTATAAACATGAGCCAGCCGCTGATTGTGCTTTTTAAAAAACTTTTTTCTGGAAGGTGCTGGGTTTTGAACCTTGGGTCTTAAGTGTATGAAGGATACCGTTAGCACTGAACTATAGCCCTAACCCTGGAATTTTTTTTATTAGATTATACTGAGAACAAAAGTATATGAATAGTTTTTTTAAATGTCTGTCAACATTAGGTAATATGAAGCTTTTGCAGCTTTGTCCTTCTGACGATGAAAAGTGGCATCTCTGTATTTTAATATACATGATTGTGAAGATCAGCTTACAGATTCTGACTTCTGCTTTCGGGAGGGGATCTGGGGCTTCCTGGAAAAATATGAACACACTTAGGATCCTTGGGAAACTTGGAAAAAAATGGACCTTGGTATAGCAGGAAATAAAGCAGTTTCTGAGCACTCTGTTTTCTCTGCTGGCTCTGAGTTAGTGTTTTTCTTCCCTGTGAGGAGCTCCTGTTCCTCACAGCTGGGTTTCTCTGCTCACCTATCTTGTGCAAAATCTATAATAGCTGCTCCAGTAGAATCCATTATGTCTTTCCTCCTAGCTTTAGCACCAATCCCCGCTCACCAGTAGTTCTTTTTTTCTTTTTTTTCCTTTCACATGTAAAATCTTTTTTTCTTTTTTCTTTTCTTTCTTTTTTTTTTTTGTCTTTTTGGGATAGGGTTTCAATTTGCAGTTCAGGCTGGTCTTGAACTCACCTTATGCTGGCTCAAACTCACAGCAGTCCTTCTGCATCAGCCTCCCAAGTGCTGAGATGACAGGCGTGCCTTATACTGTGCTAAAATCTTTTGAGAAGGAAGGAATCAGATTGTGTTTGTTCAGCTCATGGATTTGCTGCTGTTGAGTTGTGACCTCTGTTTGGCCAACTTGTATGATTGGATGGAGGGGTAGAGAACAAGCTCATATAATAAAAACAAAGCTCGGGCTAGGGTTGTGGTTTAGTGACAGAGTCCTTGCTTAGAAATGATGAGATTTAACCCCCAGCACTGTAAAAAAAAAATAACAACAACAACAACAACAACAAAAAAACAAAACCACAATGCCGGAAGAGTAGCTCATGGTCTAATGCATTAGTACTGGTGGATATGCATGGGATTCCCTTTATACGGGTGGGCTTTAATCTTCATATATTTTATGAATATATAAATATAAAGTTTCCATGTTGGTTAATATAAAACTACATTATTTTAAATGATACTTGAAATATGTTTTCTGTTAGAAGTGTATGACAGGACCTATTTTCTCATATCTTATCTAACATTAGGTAATTATTTTAAGCAGTATTTGTGAATTTGATGAGTTGAAAGTGATATTGTGCTACATTTTCATTTTATAAAATGATGAATTTCTTACATAGAAAAGCGAACCTTCAGTTCACTGCCCTTAATCATGACTAAGGGACATAGCAGGGTGACTGCAAAATTTGCTGTGGCAAGCGGTGGGTCAGGCTTTGTTAGTTATTGTGAAACAGGGTCACACTGGGGATTTTAGGCTGGCCTTGAACTCACTCTGCAGATCACATTGGCCGGCCTCAAAGTTGTGTTCATCTTCCTGTCTGGGCCTCCCAAGTTCTGGCATGACAGGCTTGTGCTGCCATACCCAGCTACCTTTGTTTATTTTCTTAAGATTTTATTTGTTTGCTTGGGTTTTTTTTTTTTTGTCTTTTTTGAGACGAGGTCTCGCTATGCACTTCAGGCTGGCCTTGAGCTCACTTTGTAGCCCAGACTGGTCTCGAACTCGGAGTGCTGGGATTACAGGCGTGAACCACCACGTTCGGCTCTGTTTGCTTGTTTATGTTACTAGGAATCAAATTGAGGGTCTCTGCATTGAGCTGCATCCCCAATTCTTTTTTAAAAAAAATTTTTATTTTGAGGCAGGATCTGGCTAAATCACTAAATTGCCCAGGTTGGAGTTGAATTTGGGGGTCTCTTGTTTTAGCCTCCCAGAGTTCTGGGGTTAAATGTGTATGCCACTATACCTGGTTATCTTTGCTTAATATTTGGCATATTTTCTCAGGTTATAGAATTTTATTTTTTTGACTCTATGACAATGTTTCTTTTTATGCAATTTTTGCTTTAAACCAGACTATGTAGATCAAATTTCAAATCTACTTCCTTTATGAGTATATTCCTTCCATTCTTGTTTCTCTTGAGAGTGGGCAGTTATTCCCTTACTTTTTTCCCACTAAATTGCAAATGAGCCATAAATCAATTTAGTAGGTTCTATTTCATTAGAATAGAAAATATCTAATGTATCATATTTTGTATTTCAGGAAGCTTTTGTGTCAGTTTACATGTATAAATAAATCTCTTTTAGGTCATATGCAAAATATTTATTAAAATATGAAAAACACTTTTTAAGTTAGTATGTAGTTTTATAATTCTTGCAACTCTTCATGTTTATAATACATAGCTTCATTTTTTCTTGCTCTTTCAATATTTTAATTTGTATACTACTTAACTCAAAGGGCTTTCTAATATTGGGTAACAATCTGAGTACTGAGTATAAGATTTTTATTTTATTTTACATTTTTTTTAAAGAGAAATTTAACACATATGTGACCCTGAAAGTACAGAATGTAAAGAGCACAACGGTAGCAGTTCGTGGTGACCAGCCTTCCTGGGAACAGGATTTCATGTTGTAAGTACTTCAGAGTAGCAGTATCTCTATGCACTATGATCTTTCTAAAGTAGTAAGTAGCATTGCGTGAAATGTGTGTGTCTGGATTTCTCAAATGTGCTGATACCATCAAACAACTGTCTTTGAAAACTGCAGTTATAGGATCAAGTGAGATGTGTGATAGGTAGGTGAAGTGTATCTTCATATTTTTAACATCTTATACATTGTGTGTGTATGTGAGTGTGTGTGTGTGTGTATGTGTGTGGTATTGGTGATTGAGTTCAGGACCTTTGCATGAAACAACATCCCTTAGTATTTTGTATTTTGAGACAGGGTTTTGATAAATAGCTCAGGCTAGGCTTAAAGTTGCAGTCTTCCTGCTTCAGCCTCCCCAAGTGCTGGAATTACAGACATGCACCACATGCCCAGTTGAATAATCTGTTCTAACATGAGTGATGATTAATTTATGTGAGTGATAATACTACCTAGTTAGATTTTCTTAATGGTCAGAATTAGAATATAATACAGAATACTTACTATAATATTAAACATAACTTAATCTTAGGTTTTAGAAGGCTCTGAGGAGATGTTGCTGTGTGTGTTTGTGTGTCTTGTCATCTGCTTTAGAGGATGAAGATTCTGAATTTAATGTCCTTTTGCTTTATTGAGTAAAAATGTTATACATTCATTTAATTGATGAGTGAACTTTAATTGGATTTGAGTAAGCCTGAAAATTAATATATTTTTATTCTAAACTCTGGCTTTGAAAACTTGCCATTCACCCCTTGTCACATAGTTTTCAGGAATACTTCCTCCCCAAAGGGGTAGAAAATTATAGACTGTCATACTGAAGGACTGGGCTAAAATACTTAGCTTTCTGATGCCAGTTTCCTTATCTGTAAAGGTTTCCTTTCTTAAGAAGGTCATACTTATTTTCTTGAGAGTAGGAGGTAGGCACAAAGAAGTCAAGAGAAAATATGTAAATTCTTCTTTGTAAATTTCTCTAAAGTCTGAAATTAAACTGAATTTAAGTTTTACAGTGCAATGTTGTGAGTTCAGTCCCCAGTACTGCAAAAATAAAAAAATAAATAAAAAAAAGTTTTACAGTGCAACTCAAAGAGATAAGGGATGATTTTTTATTTTTATGGTAAACCACTGTATTCTTCTGAGCATTCATGAACTGCTCTTTAAAGCACCAGT